GGTTTGCTGTGGGTTTGAGTGGGTGGTGTGTCTGTCGGGCTGTGTCTGTGGGCGAGTCTGCAGGTGGAATTATTTCAAAGCCCCTCCTCTGCTTCCTCTGCAGGCCGCCCTCCCACGGCCCACAGGGCCTGGGAGGAGGTGGGGACAGCCTCGGGGCCTCATCCACCTTCTCATTGGAGAGTGCCTGCAGCATGGAGGCCCTGGGGCGGGAGGAGAGGGCGTGCAGCCAGCAAGCAGATGTAGGCATCACTGGCATTTATCTGGCACTTTCCATGTGGCAGGTTCTATTCTGAGCACTTTCAATTTACGTATATTCATCTAATCTTCCCGTGGCCCTACAAGGAAGGGACTGTCATTACCCCATTTTACAGATGGGGAAGCGGAGGTACAGCGAGATGATGTGACTTGCCCATATACAGTCTCTGTTAAGTGGCAGAGCTGGGATTCGAACCTGGGCAGTGTCGCTCCTGAGCCCTCTGCTCTGTGCCTCTTACAATCATGGTCAGCACTTCCACGTACTGAGCACTGACTGTGCACCAGGCCTGGGCGCAGCTCTTTTACTTGTGACTGCATGGAATTCTCGGGGCTCAGAGAGGTAAAGCCACCTACCCGGGGCCACACAGTGGGCTGAGGGTTGGAGCCTGAGCCAGTGGGACCTGGGAGCCACGGACGCAGCCAGAATGGACTCTGCTACCCAGGTCCTGTGCGGTGACCCTCCCACGGGCCTGCTGTCCCGCCCCCCACTGGACGCTTGCTGCATTTGGGGGTCAGGCCGGCGTTCTGCCTGGGGAAGCTGAGCAGGGAGGCAGCTGCTTGTCCTGCTGACCCAGCCACCTCGGGAGGAGTCAGCTGGCCCCCGAGGAGACTGACAGCAAGCTCCCTGGGTGAGAACACAGGGCCAGGCCCGGGGAGGCCAGGGAGGGGGGAGCGTCCAGGCTGGTTCTCCGGGAAGGAGGCCCTTGGAGGGTGTGGGGGTGCTAGGCCCCAGGCCCAGGGACGGGGTGCTTTAGGCTGCCATCTTCTTGGAGCTTCCACACTGTTAACGTAAAAGAAACCATTGAAACCTGTAAAGAATTTCTGTGAGTTTATCTGAGCCAAACTGTGGACATATGCCGGGAAGCAGAACCTCAACAAATTGAGATAGTGCTCCGGAGAATGATGGGGTAACATCTGTATTTATACCTCTCTCTCATCGATGTTTCTAACTCCCTATCCTTTCCCTTCCTCTCTGTAAAAAATCAATAAACTATATTTAAAAAAAAGGTAAAATGATGGACACATACTTAGGTGGGTGCAGGATCAATTAACAGGATAATGGAGGAATTTGTGGTCTCTGTCCTGGCGCCCAGCACAGTTGGTTGTGCCCCAGGGGCTCCAGAAAAAGGGAAATTACAAGTTACCCAGACATTTCAAGGGTGTGTTATCATAGATGCAAAAAGACAGATAGGCTCAGTTAAGGTAAAGGTTGACCTTGTCAGTGAAGATACCGGCCTAGGATGTAACTGCCCACCATAACTGCTTTTAGTTAAAGTTTAATTTCAGACCATCCTTTGTGGTGACTTTAGGTCTCTGAGTTTGCAAGACCGCCATGCAGGCCTTCCCTGAGCTTGTCAGGTCAGCATGTGGCCCCTTTCGTCCACAACATGGAAGGACCACAGTGAACCCTCAAACAGACCAGCCGGGGCGAGGGTGGCATCACCAGCATCCTGGACACGGGCCCAGGGAGGAGCCCTCAGTCATAGGGGCCCAGGGAGAAGCCCTCAGTCATAGGGGCCCGGGGAGAAGCCTGCAGGGGCCCAGGGAGAAGCCTGCAGGGGACCAGGGAGAAGCCTGGAGGGGCCGGGGGACGCCGGAGAAGCCTGGAGGGGCCCGGGGAGAAGCCTGCAGGGGCCCGGGGAGAAGCCTGCAGGGGCCCGGGGAGAAGCTTGCAGGGCCCCGGGGAGAAGCCGCTGCCGCACAGGTGGTGCCAGGCAGACAGACAGACACAGGCTTGTCCTCGCCTGACTCAGTTCCTTTGCTTTTCACGCAGAGAGAAACCCCCGTGCCCTCCCTCCTTCCCCAGCTCCTCAGCGTGCACCTTGGGGGCAGCCAGGGTGGGAGGGGCTGGAAGGCCTCGGTGACTCCCTTAAAGGCAAGGGTTTCTGCAGGACGTTTCTGCCTCATGTTTTAGCTGCAATGCCAAGGGTTTGGAACTCTCTTCCGGGTGTGGGGACAACCCCGCCCCACTGGGCTCCAGGCCCAGGAAGACCGACTCCGAGCTCCCTCTCTCGGAGTCCCCAGAGCCAGCAGGTCTCGGCCATTGGGGCCCACAGGCTCCTGTCTTCTCTCCTTCCCTGGGCCCCACAGAAGACCTTGGCTCCGGAGGGCAGAATTACTGGGTGTCCTGTTCACAGCAGCCCCACCCCCAGGGCCTGGAAGGCTGCCTGGTGCCTTGCGGAGCTCAGTGTATCTTGGCCTCGTAAGATGTGTTAGCAACTCTGTGCGCACACGTGAGAGACCCCACACACAGTGACAGCTCTGGGTTATTCACTAACATCTCCGGAGCGAGTGCCGAGAAGGTGCCAGACCCCAAGCGAAGTGCTTTCGAAGCATGTTTTTATTTAATCTTCACATTAGTCCCACCCACCCACAGAGGTTCCTATTATCATCATCCCATTTTACAGATGAGGAAACTGAGGCTCGAGGCATGATGTGACTTGTTCAAGGCCACCAGCTTATGGGTTCTGAGCCCAGCTGTGTCTGAACATGGGGCCCTGTGCTCTGCTTCTGCCGCACACCCATACAAAACCAAATGGCTAATAA